GAAGCAGAGGCTGAGAACAGGAAGTGGCAGGAAAGCCCGCTTCCTCCCTTCCTCCCAGTGAACATACTTCTCCTGGCAGCAGGAGAGGGAGGGACTGGCTTGGGGGAGGGGTGGGATTCTTCCACAACTGACTGCAGGCCATGGACTGGTGGCCTCACCTTAATGAAAACACCTATCCTAGCTCTGTAAATAGGTTCTCTGGAGAGTGCTTCCACAGGCAGCAGGGGCTGGCTCCCCAGGCTTCCTAGCAGCTAGGCAGCAGCAGGCACTCTGGGCTTGCCTCAAGGCCCATCCACAGCATAGCCATGAGTGCCCCACAATCTGGGACAAAAGGGAGAGTGAAGCTTCTCGAGGGGCCCTTCCTTGGTGTGGTGGAAGGAAGCCCACAGTGCTCACGGTGCCCTGGCTGGGGTGGGTTAGTCACAGGGAGTGGAATAACGCCCTGGGTCAATGACACTGCCACCAGCCTGACACAGCTCCCTCAGCAAACTTAGTTCTCTTCAGAAGTCCAGGGTGGGGTGAGGTGAGGGAGTGGGGCTGTTTGGTGAGAAGCTGCCCCTGTAGCACTGGTCCCCCTTGGATGGCTGGGGCCATCAAGGGCCTATCTTGAGCAAATCATTAGGAAGAGGAGGTTAATGACAGGGAGTTGGGGTGGCAGGGTGAGGGTGACAACACACACTGGCCTGCTCGGCGGGCTGGGTTTCCGGGATTCTGGGTAATCACAATATCCACCCCCAACCTGTGCTAGCCCTAGTGGTGGCAGAAGAGGTGGCTTTTTACCTCCTCACTTTCCCAACTTCCTTCTTGCCTCTGGAGATGCCTTTGGCAGGAGCTACTGGCCTAAGAAATGAAGGTCATCTGGAATCAGAGCCAGAGAGACCCTAGGACCACAAGTCCCCTGTTGATATGTAGAACAAAGTACCAGGGAAGAGACCTGGCTGTAGGCCAATAGACAGTCATTTGTTGTCCACATTTGTGCTGAGTATTGTACAGAGACCAGAAAATATGAGGGCTTCTCGCCCTCCCTCCCTACCTCCTTCCCTCCCTCCCTCCCTTCAGTTCCTTTCTCTCTCTCTCTCTCTCTCTCTCTCTCTCTCTGTCTCTGTCTCTCTCCCTCTCTCTCTTTCTTGAATCAGGGTTTCTCTGTGCAGTCCTAGCTATCCTGGAATTTACAGAGATCCACCTGCCTCTGTCTTCCAAACGCTGGGATTAAAAGTGTGTGTCACCACTGCCTGGCTGAGGGGTCTTTTCAAGGATGTTCGGGTGAAAGCATCACCCCAGCCCCTGGCACCCATCCTTGGAGCAGGAATGGAGCAGGAAGCTCCATTTCAAGCGCTCCCCTGGCAGTTGCCTTGGTCCAGACTCCACCTCCGGGAAAGCCTGCTGAGCAGTGACCTCTCCCCAGGGAGGGTCAAAAAGCCCACCAAGTGGTGAACCACCCCCACAGGCTATTTAGGCTGCTACCCATGGTCTCTGGGTTTTGCATGGTCTCCCCCTCTTCCCTCCCTGCCCCACCCCCTCACCATGCTTTCCAGCCCATCTGGGAGTGCTGCATTAATTAAACATGGGTGTCTTTTATTTGGTCTAATTTGGTCTGATTGGAATAATTTGCATTGTCAGAAAGGCTTGTCTTAAGAAACATACCTAACATATGGAGGTTTCCACCGAGAGGGTCTGTTTTTCCTGCAGGCCCAGCACCGTGTGCTGGGAAGACGCCCTTCTCTCTGCTAGGCTGAGATCGCTTCATCTCAGTGAGTTCCCCTGTTGGAGAACTTGGCTGGTAGGATGGGGGGGGGCATTCACGCTTATTTTGTCGATTTTCAGGTTTTCCAATAAAGTCGTGGTCATGCCGGTAGTCCGACCCACAAGGCAAGCCAGGCCTCACTGAGATGAGATTTGGGTGTTTAGAGACGTCTGCCACTCATTTCTCGGAAACCCCCATTTTTGACTCAAGAGCCCTGTTCGGTGGACGCATTGCGACAGGCTTGAGTCCCAGTAGGCACAGACTTCTAAATGGGTTCTTGCGAATCAAAGTCGAATCCTCAAACGCCCTTGGGCTGCCTTTTACAAAAATCCTTTAAAGTTGGGGTTATCTAACATCTAACAAGTAAACAAGGCTCCAAAAGCCCATGGTTTCTAAATGCATGCTCTGCCCCCCCCCGCACCCCTCCCCCACCCTGCTCTCTAGCTATTTGCTGTTTGTCTCACTCTGGGATTTTTTTGTTGTGGTGGTGGGTTTTTTTGTGTGTGTTTGTGTTTTTTGAGACAGGGTTTCTCTGTGTAGTTTAGGAGTCTGTCCTGGAACTAGCTCTTGTAGATCAGGTTGGCCTTGAACTCACAGAGATTCACCTGTCTCTGACTCCCTAGTGCTGGGATTAAAGGTGTACGCCACCACTGCCTGGCAACTCTGGGATTTTCTTAAACAAATCTGTTTCCCCCGTTCTTCCAGTCTCCTGGCTTCTGCCACCTAACTACACTGGAATTTTAAGTTGGTCAGCTGAGACAGGTTTCTATAAGTGTTTTGTTTGTTAGAATAATGTGGCCACGGTATGTCTGTGTGACTATATGGATGTGCTTTCATAGTATGCTTGGTTTATGTTTCTGTGTGCTCGTTTTAAGACCAGTAAAATTTATAGCTCCAGACTAAAACAGCTCTGGAGAAATACAAACACATGGGTAACCTCCATTTTGACCTCTCTGCCATCTTGGGTAAGAGTTCTCACATGTGTTAGTATTCCTTTTTTTTGATTTTCGAGACAGGGTTTCTCTGTAGCTTTTGGTGCCTGTCCTGGAACTAGCCCTGTAGACCAGGCTGGCCTCAAACTCACAGAGAACCGCCTGCTTCTGCCTTCTGAGTGCTGGGATTAAAGGCGTGCACCACCACTGCCTGGCTGTGCTAGTACTCTTACTAAAATATTCCTTTCAATCTTCTTACATTTACTGTAACTAATTGGATAAAATACACATCTAAATTTAGCTTATATGCCCAGTTTAAATATAAAAGGTAATGGTACCCAATTCTCAAGTGTCTTTCCAAGAGCTTCTAACATAGAGACATGCCAGCTCTTGCAGTATCCTTTAGCTCCTCAAAAAGATGCATGGCTACAGAAGACCTTCCACCTCCAGGTTTGCCTTTGGGTTTGGCAAAGCCACCCACATAGCAAAAAGCATCCAAAGTCTGGAGCCACCTGCTGAACTTTTGGAGGGCTGCTTTTGTGTCTGACAGCAAGAGGGAGCGGGTAGGAGTAGAGCAGCTATCGGGTAGGGTTGATAGTATCCTTTGGGGAAATAAATACTGCAAGAAAGGCCCAATTACATGACCTCCAACCTTGCAAGTCATCCAAGTCCATCAAGGACCCCTGTGTTGGACCTCCTAAACTCCAGAGAGCTGTCCAGCTCAGGGAGCCTGACACAGGGGGAGGAGTGGCAAGGGGTCTACAGACCCCCTCCCCAACCAGGTGCAACTTGGGTCCTCAGGTTCTTGGAGCAGGGAAGTTTTGAACTGGGACTTGTGGGAGAAGAAAGGACCATTTTGGGAAGAACTTTAGTCCTTCATAAGTCTGTCCTGGGCATGGAAGGAAAGACCACCATGATGAAGACCATTCCAAGAGCCACGTACGTAGACTGGGGAAGTCCAGGCGTCCAGAATGCACGCCTCCTGAGAATTGCACTTCCCTAATCCCTGCGGCTCCACTAAGGAAGGTGTGTGTGGGCTGTAGAAACATCCCAGGAAGGCCGCTCTCCATCACTGTCTCCATCACTTTAACAAACTACGTGGCAAAAGCAACTTCAGGAAAGAAAGGTTTCTTTGGCTCATGGTCTGTCATGGTAGTGAAGTCATGGCGCTTGAACCTGAAGCAGTTTGTTACCTTGGACCCACAGCTGGGTAGCAGAAGGGGATAAATGTCGATTCTTGGCTTCCATCTCTACCTAGCTTTGGAGATAAGGTCTCACTGTAAGACCAGGCTCAAACTCAAACTGCCTGCCTTTGCCTCCCAAGCACTGGGATTAGAGGCATAGCCACACTCAGTCTGCCTCCAAGGGAGCCCATGCTGGGTGACAGAACTAGCACGGGAGGGGATGACAAGGCTGGCCCCACAGGAGCACCCTTTCAGTTGGCAGCCAGCTAAGGCTCATGGGATGGGGTACTCATTACCTCCCGAGGCAGCGGAGGGGCTTTCCTGCCAGTGCAGGCTACCAGGCTCCTGCACTGCAGCTTCCCAGGGAACCCTGACAGCAGGCTCTGCCATCTAGTGGGACTGGACAGTGACAGGTTCCCTTGAACCACTACTCTGCACTGGGTAGGGTGCAGCACCCAGAGGAATGAAAATTCCTTAACAATCAGAGCCTCAGATAGGTGAGACTGCAGTACTGAGGATACAACTGGGGGTGGGCAGAACTCTAAGGTCTGACCCTGGAACTCAGCTCTCCGCACCTAGTGCAAGCTGGGGGAGGCAACCTCCCACCCTCGTGGTTTATCAGACATCAACATAGGCTGGCCCTCTTGCAGCCTGCACTCTTAGACATTCAGGCTCTACCTCTCCTGGGAGCAGTGACCATACTAACTAGCTGGTCCTGACAGCTTTAGGGTTCTAGCACTGCATCTACCCCCAGGGCAGGGCAGTGTGTTAGGAGACAAGGACCTCCCTTGTTGGCTAAACCCCAGGATGCTGAAGGCACCAACAATGCAGACATGGAAAGTACACTGGCTTTCCCAGTCCAGATGTGGAGGAAGAGGCCCCGGAAACCCTCATGAATGAATGGAGACAGTGTGCTTGGGGTCTCCAAATCCCTGCAAACGCCAGAGGTGGGTATTAACAGGGTTTTGGCTACCCTTGCACTCCAGGACCCCTGAACAGCTGCAAAAGAGGGTGTCCTTAGTCTCAAAAACAATGCTTCAAGCACCCACCCCTCATTGCTACTGAGACTCTCCGTTTGTGGGCCTGGGACAGGAGGACTGTAACCAGTGTTACCTAGAACAAGCCATTCCTGCAACAAGATCAGTCAAATTAGTTTTAATTTTCAGATTCTTTTGTTCTCATGCATGTAGACAGGAAGAAGCTACAGGCCCTGGTGAAAACATGCAGTGACAGAAATGACAGCCTTTGCAAGGGCCCTACCCATTCCACCAAGCTTGTTCCTGAGCAAACTTGACTCAGATGGGCCCATTGGGGGCTTTCTTTTTTTTTTGGGGGGGGGTGATTGGAGAGAAAATTCTTTGCTCGTCCAAGCAATGAGTTGCCAGCTTAGGAGTCAGTCAAAGGACCACGGTGAGCTGAATGAGAACTTAGCACGGCTCTCTAGACAGTGTGCCACCATCTCAGGACTCTGAACAAGTACACAGTTCAGTGGCCCCTTTTTTATTAAACTGAATGTGGTCCTCTCAGCTGGGTCTCAAGTCTCCCTTCTGTGTGGCTCTGCCCACTGGGAGCTTCCCATGGCCAGGTGGGGAGGCTCCAGGTACTAACAGCACTTGGGGATGGGGGAGCAGGAGCACCCAATCCAGACTGGGTACAGATGTGGCTCCCTCAGGGCTGAATTCCTTCATTTATTTACTCAAGTCCCCGTACAAATCTCTGGCCTGCTGTCCTAATCAACTGAGCTCCTGATTCTTGGTCCCTGATCACGATGGTGTTCTCCGCATGATTAGCTCCTGATTCTCCAGACACTGCTTCAACTTGTCTTCTGCCAGTGTCAGCCGCTGTTCCAGGATGGACACCGTCTGCAAAATAAAAGGTGTCAGGCTCAGGATGGAGGGCTCACCTTGCTGCCCTAACGGATAAGTCATCAGCCTACTATCCAAATGCCAGGTGCCTCCCTTCCCACCAAGCCCTGCCTGGCCTTTCATGCCTTCTGTGCGCATCTCTGGAGTTTGTGGGAAGGAAGAGATGCCCTGAGGGGAAGCAGATTGTAGCTCTCACAGTCCTCAGTCATTCCCCCAAGACAACCAGGGCAGGAGGAATTTTGACCCCTAGTCTGGGCCACGCTCTGTACAACACCGGAAACTATCAACCACCTCTGGGAAAGAAGCTGCCCCACGAACACTTCTTGATCCTGTCCCAGGACACGGCCCTCCCCTCTGTGCTGAGGGCACTCTTCCCAAGGTGGGAGGGTCCTACGAGGGCAGAGTGAGACAGCGCCACCTGGGGGTGAGGGTGATCCCTGGCAAGTGATTGATCGATCCACTTACTTCCCGCACACCCAGCACAAAGGCTGCCTATGGATCCAGTCTTCTGAGGCTGCCTTTACTTAATGGACCAAATCCAGTCTTGCAGACAGGGCTCCCACAAAGGTGGTGAAAACCTGTCTATTCCCTCTGGCTTTAGTTGTATGCAGTAGTGGGCAGCCGCATACTTCTCAAAGGGGTTGCTAACCATCCCAGCTTGCCCCACCAGTCACGCCTACCCTAACACTTCCTAGGCTGATCCATGCTCAGCTGGTCATTTCATTTCCACCATTGAGGGCCGCCGAGGGCCTACTGCATACATGAAGGCCACACCAGCCACTGGGGATAAGGTCACTGCAGGGAAGGCCACTGTGAGCACAGCAGGCTTGATTCCTACAGGCACTAGGAAGGTCATGTAATTTCACCAGGGATGTCTCTCGAGAGACATTGTCCCCTTCTCCAAGGTTCCATGAAGGTTTGAGCTTTCATGCACTCGAGAAAACGGAGACATTTTGGGAGTTTCCCTTTCTGTGCAGATGTAAATTCTCACAGCATCCTGCGTGGATGTCAGCTGTCACAGAGGGTGCGCCGTCTGATGGCTGGCCAGGGATGGGAGGACAGAACCTAGAAAAATCACCACCCGTGGGACAGGAACTGGACCTCCAGAGGCAGAGCTAAGCTGAGGGAACTCATCACATCCCCAAGTCGGCCAGCCAGGAACGGGTCTGCTCTCGTAAAAGTGGCAGTGGAAACAGCCCCCGGCTGGCCCGAACAACATTCCTGGAAGTTTCCATTGGCTGCTGTGAAACTCACTCTGCCAAAATCATTCTTCTTCCAGACCCTTTCCGACAGACAGTCGGGACTCAAGGCCACAGTGGGGGAGCCTGGCTGGTGGCATTTCCTTTTCTGCTTGCTCCCCGCCACCCCCTTTAAAAATTTTAACACAACCCAGTTTCCAAAGGCAGAGATCATAGACTCAGAAAACAAGAGCTGCTGGACCAATGGCAACATGGGGGCTCCACTTGGTTCCCTGGGAGGGAGGCCCATACTTCAGCCCAGCAGGAATGTGGTCACTAAATGTGTCCATATTAGATTAAACTGAATAGAAAAGCATCCTCTGTTTCACAGTCAGCCCCTCACTAGTGGAGGGTGCTGGGCCCACTGGGGGTCACTTTGTTTCCAGTTCTAAAGGGAGACTCCTCCCTTGTTTTGTAGCCCTCATATAGATAATCCAAGCTAATCTCAAACTCGTGGTAATCCTCCTGCCTCAATCTTTCCATTGCTGGGATGATAAACAAGCACACCATGCCTGACAAGAGATACCTCAGAGTGTGCCTGTCATACCTGCATCTCCCCCACTATTTCTCTAGCTTCACTCCCTGCCAGGCAAGCTTGAAGAGGCATGCCATCTTGTGTTTGGACTACACTGTCCAAACTGTCTGATCTGCCCCAAGCCTGTTATGCCAAGGGGTCAGGTGGCAGTCACCACCAAAGATAACTACCAGGCAGTTCCAAGGATCCATCTGATCTTAGTGTGTTTTGAGCCTTAAAGATGGGCTTGGACAGAAGGGGCTTTCTAGATATCTGTCCATTAGAAGCCACCTGGCATCCCTGGCTTCATATTTGCTCCCCTCGATGACTCTACTCTAATAAAGCACACAAGTTCATTTTCACAGAAAACAACAATCCCCACAACAGAGCTGGGTCCTGGGAACCACGTTCTTGACTTCCGCTGCAGTATCTTAGTGTGAGACTGTAACTCACATTAATTCAGATTCTATACCATCCCAGAAAAATTCTAATTTTTTTCTTCCTTTTTCCTTTGTTTTCAGACAAGGGCTCCCGTGATCCAGGCTGGCTTTGAACACACTATAAAGCTGAGGATGGCCTTGAACTTTTTTTCCTGCCTCCCCCTCTTAGTGCTAGGATCATAGACATACATGAATCACTAAGCCCAATTAATGCCCAGTTTGGTACTAAGTATCAAACCATGAGCTTTGTGCATGCTAGATACATGCCCTCTACCAACTCAGCACATCTCCAGCGCACAATGTGCCGTTATTCCACAAAGAAGAGAGCTTTTCCAGCAATGGAATGCCCCGCCAGGGCATCTGAGTAGCAGGGTTAGACATGCTCAGCCTGATGATGCGGCTAAGCAAGGCCCTGGCAGGGTTTGCGTCTACCCCAGCACTACAGTGCTGGGTGCAAAGGCTGCGACGAGAGGTGCCAGGACCTTGTATCTGGGGTGGCATGTAAGACATCTGGGATGTCCATGGTTAAGGACTAACCTTGGGCCACTTCATGTAGCTTTTTCACAGGGTGACTTTTACCTGTGACAAGCACATGTCTACACCAGTGTCAATCACTCAGAGGCTCAGTGAATATGTACTGATATGTACTGCCTCAGTGTACAGAGGACAAGAGCAGCTGCTGTTCCCTTTTTCTCCCAGTGCCCACACAGGGGAGCTCAGGCACACGGGTGGCTAGCTGCTCACCTCATTTCAATCCCTTGGGTCCTACCTTGGGGATTCTCCTGTCACAGAGAGTTTGGTCTGGCTGGGCAACAAAGCCATACCTTATCCTTAAAGTGTGAGTGGGGCATTTTAAAGGCAATACCTGTGATATTAGGAGCCCATGCCACAGCCCCCCCAGCTTTGATTTTCCTCTCGACAAATGCAGACGAGAACTAGTCTTCCAGCCTTCCCAGTGTCTCTCTACTTGCTCTGGTCAGAAGCAGAGCCCTAGCCCAGTCCCTCAGAGGAAGCTGTGTCAGGTCAGGTGACAAGGGCGCCAGAGTGGGAGAGTCCCTGTCATAACAACTTCCAGCCCCAATATCTGAACACCATCAGTCCAAAGACCTTGCTCAGGACTACTCAGTAGCCCTGTCACACACCTCAGAACACTGAGGCGCACTTTCCAGATCACAAGCGTCCCTTCTCCCAATCCCAGGCAGGCAAACGATCTTTTATTTGCTTAAACACTTAAGTTTGAAATTATGGCGAAGTCATAAAAGCAAGGAAAGATAAAAAAAGCACTTGCCACAAAAGGCTGCCATTCTGAACCTGATCCTCAGCATCAAATGCCCAGTTGTCCTCTGACCTTTACACATACGCTGTGGTGTGCTTGTGTGTGTGTGTGTGGCATCATACATGGAGCTGAGTGGTGATGGTGTAAACCTTTAATCTTTGCACTCGGGAGACAGAGGCAGGTGGATCTCTGTGAGTTGAAGCCGGCCTGGTCTACAGAACAAGTTTTCCAGGACAGCCAGGGCCACACAAAGAAACCTTGTCTAAAAAAAAAAAAAAAAAAAAAAAGAGGCAATGTTACAGGGACAACCTTATCCAGGAGTCAGTGGGCAAACAGGTGCCCACTGGGTTAAGGAGGCAAATGGGAAGCTTTACACTGGTCAGGGGTTGTGCTGAGGAAATGAGGCAGGGCAGGCAGGAGTTGAGGGGACTCATTGGCAAGAGAGACAACCACAGGAGGCTACAGAGCACTGCTCACCAAGGAGACAGGGCTTCAGGTCCCACAGCCAGAGCTTCATCTTCACCTCAGAGCAGGAGGAAAGGGCTGTGAGACACTGGCTGCTGCCTGGGAACAGTCTGGAAGGGTGCGGCATAGCTGTGGGGAGACAAGGTGGAGTCAAAAACAGGGTGTGGGGGGCTCAGAGTGCAGAAAGGGAAGCCCTAGAGGAAAGGAGACAAAATCAGACAGCGCTCTGAAGGGTGAGGCAAGACTCAGGTTAGCGGAGAAGAGAGCCTGCGAGAGAGCGTGAGGTCTGCAGTGGTCTGAGAAGTGGCACAGAGGGCTGCAGCGTAAGTGTTTCTGAGTCAATCCTCGCTGCTGGGACAGCTGGAGGAGACAGAAAAGGGCGGGAGGGCAGTGAATCCACAAGCCCCTAGTGTTGGAAAGGAGAATCCAGCCTAGCAGGGCCAAAGATCCTGTCAAGGCGGCCAGGGAGGGACTGCCTGACCCAGGAGAACTGACGGGAGGAAAGTATTAAGGTGTTGGAGACCAAAACCAAGAGCACAGTGAGAAGCGACTGGGCCAGCCCCTGGCTCTGGGCAGCAGATGAGGATCTAGAGCTGGGGCTACCGGGTGGGACTTTCAGTATGACTCATCCTGGGCTCTGGAGGAAAATCCTCCCAGGATTGGCTCAACATTGTATTCTATTTCCTTTCTGATTTTCCTGCAAGGGGAGGGGAGACAGTGATGTCTCTGGCTAGGGCCACAGGGCAAGTGCGTCTTCTCTCACAGTTCAAGGAGAGTAAACATTTATGTGACACCCTGAAGGGCTTTCTAAACAGTATAAAAGGAACCAACTTTAAAATGACAGCCTTCATATTTAGTCCCCCAAGAACTATGGCAATAAAACAGCTGAACCAAACATGAAGCCTGAGATGTCTGGCACCTGGGCTCCCCACACCAAGTGTCAGAGGGACATAGCACCAGAATCATTCTCACAGATGCCCTTATGTACCAGCAGTAGTTATGGGGCATTTGCTGAAGACCTGCTAGGATCCCAAGAAAGCCCTGGGACACCAAACAGCTGAATC